AACTCCCCATATTTATATTATTATGATTAAGACATGTATCGACCATATATTACTTTGGTGGGCTAGTTTTCCCTTCTTTGAACCGACCCATAAGAATAAGTAATAATAAGTAACAAGCTCATTCATCTTATGATTAAGAATATTATAAGTTTGCCTTATCCTGAACATTAATATGATAATGTAAATCCATGTGTTTGCTGCATTAAGGATCCAACAAATACAAAGAATTTGAAAAGTTTGAAGTTTTAAACCCTATGCAGTGTATACTTTTTAACTTGACAATTTATTTCTTGGAATGAAGTCCAAGAAAATAGGAGGAAAAAAATACTCCTCCCTGAAACAAAAGGACTTAGATTGGATGACAGTTCTGAAAAAAAAAAAAAAAAAGGAGGTATCTATTTTATTTCTTGAAGTATTTAGTTGAGTGGCAACAATTTAAGAACCATAAAAATTCAATTTCTGAAGATTCCGTCCTGAGTAAAGCAGACCTGTAGTCAGAAATGTAGAGGTCAAGTTAGCAATACACAAAATCAAAATCAGATTTATTTTCAGCTGCCTCTTTTGTTGGTTTTCATGCTAGAATTCTGGCATTCCATTTCAGATGTTTTTTCCAGCTATTTCACTCAACATTCAATTTAAGTAAATCTTCTCTTAATAAATACGAGTTAATTAGTGGGAAAACACTGATATATTTCCAAATATATCAGTTCCTGGAAAATGTGCTATAAAATGAAATGATAGGCCAAATTAAATTTTTAAATATGGAAGCAGTGTTATATAGTAGGATTTCAGACTTTTTGATCAGAGGATGAATGCCTAATTTTTTAAACCAAAAAAATCACTGCAACATAGTATATAAATTTCTATTTTCTGGGCTTAGGTGTAGTTATTAGCAAATTTTCATTTACCTGTTTAATCTGCCTTTCTTTGCTTGGTCTCATTGGGACTAGGTTTGGAAACATAGCCCTGGGGAATGTGTTTTCTTATCAAATGTCCAGACGACATGTATTTCCTGCATGATAAGAAAAGACATAGATTCCACTGTCAAAGGAATCAGGAAAACTAAAAATTTATTTTTTCTGCCTAGCTGTGCTTACTTCAGGGAAATGTGCAGTGATAAAAAGGAGGTAAAATGAAATCCTTTGATCAGTTTTTCAGAAAGCCACCAGCTGGCCCTAAATCACACCTAAGTTTTTTCCAAAAGCTTCTCAAAGAGGTTGCTTTGATTTCTGGAAAGTGTGCTTTAGATGGCTCTGTGAAGTCGGAGATGGGCGATGCATTACAGTGTAATAACACGGCAATGGTACTATCAGCCACAATGTTAAATTTGGCCCCACTTGGTATTACACATATTCATTCATTTGTCCTTCTGTAGCTTGCATTTGTAACAGGAAAAGGACACAGTTCCTTTGATGGGAAAACCCATAACAGAAAGTATATGCCTGAGAAACAAGCTTGGAATGTTATGGTAGCTGTGGGAAATATTGATTGTACTTTTCTCTCAATAATGGGCTAAAATATTGATCAGAAGCCAGAGAAGCTTATTTCTTTTTGTGCCGGGACTGGGAGGAAGGAAAAACAGCAAGAGTTCAGAAAAAGCAGCTAATGTCTGCCCATCCAGTAATTTTAGATAGGCCATTTATTTGCTAGGTAGAATTCCATTTGACCTCAAGCTGCATTAGGTTTTGGATAAAGTCCTGACGGAAATGTCATTATCCATAAATCTTTTAAACAAAAGTTTGCTCTTTAAGGCTATTTTCTTCTTTAGTTTTATTCTACTTAACAAATCTGTTTGTTTTTGAGATAGGGACAAAACAAATATGTTAATTTATCCCTTAGGAACTAGAAAAATGACAAATGGTTTAAGACTATTAAAATTTGTTAAGTAGGACAAGAAAATCAATGAGAAAAAAAATAAAAAGGGTTCTGAATACCAGTGTTGCCAACTTTAAGCTTCAATAGTGTCTACTCAGAATCTCAAAATCTTCCACCTGCTGGTGCATGAAGCTGACTTTTTCCTGTGAGAGTAATCAGTGGTGTCCACTGGTTATCTGGGAGTTTAGGATTATGTTTACAAAACCAATTTCTAGTCATGAAAGAATGGGGACAATTAACACTGGCCATAGGAAAATATCACATTTTAATTGCAATAATCATTAAACCTGTGTCCATTAAAGAGAGGAAAAACAGCCTTAATATCACAGCTTTAGAGATTTTTGGTACACAATTAATGGTGTTTCTGGGTATAACCCTAACCTGACATATGCCAGAAGTGGGGCTTGAGGTGCCAGAATTTGAAGCACATAGTACATAGGAGTGGGCTGTCAGCAAAGAAAATGAGAAAGAGATACCATCACTATTTTTTTCCCCCAAAAGTATTTTCGGCCGTGTATATTGTATCAGTGTACTTTACTGGATTACATGCCATATCTTGTTATCTTGTGTAACTTGTAATGTGATATAAAACATTATATTAGACCAACCGATGAAAATAATTCTGCTCCTTATGAACAAGTGGACATACTTCTGTGATGAGTAACAGAAGCTCAATTTCCACAGAATGTTCCCGGGCATCAAATACTTAATGTGCTTTTACTATCACCTTATCAAATGAAATGGGAAGTTTCTCGTATAATTGTGTAATGCCTGGAGTCTAGAACTATAACAGTTTTTTATTTTTATTTTTTAAAATTTTTTTAAAGATATCATTTATTTATTTGACAGAGAGAGAGAGACTCACACACAGCGAGAGAGGCAACACAAGCAGGGGCAGAAGGAGAGGGAGAAGCAGGCTTCCCGTGGAGCAGGAAGCCCGATGTGGGGCTCGATCCCAGGACTCTGGGATCATGACCTGAGCCAAAGGCACATGCTTAACCGACTGAGTCACCCAGGCGCCCCATAACAGTTTTTTAAATAATAGAAATATATTTATTACATAGATAAGTATATTATACTTTACTGATGCTTCAACACTTAATTCCACTTAACAACAAAATTTTGCCTTTAGTGTTTATTACATTTTATGATGATAGCAGTTATACTGTGGAAAAACTTAGATTATTTATTTATTTATTTATTTTTAAAGATTTTATTTATTTATTTGACAGAGAGAGACACAGTGAGAGAGGGAACACAAGTGGGGGAGAGGGAGAGGGAGAAGCAGGCTTCCCGCCGAGCAGGGAGCCCGATGCTGGGCTCGATCCCAGGACCCTGGGATCATCACCTGTGCCAAAGGCAGACGCTTAACGACTGAGCCACCCAGGTGCCCCAAAACTTAGATAATTTAATCTAAGAACAGCTTTAGTCTTTAAAATAATATGTGTGTCTGTATATAATGGTATAACTATTAAAAATGACTAAATTGTTCCAAAATGTTTTAATTAATGAAATAATAATGCTCTATTTAGATTTAGACAGAATATATTATTGCTATTTTAAAGTTTGAAGATGTGATTTTTTTTCTTCATATATTTGAATTTTACTTAAAAATTCTAAAAATTGGTATCTAACCTCATTCTAGGTAATGCTTAAAAATTGTTGTCTTATAAATTATTTGTTTTCTAGAAATAAAACAGATCAATGGAATTGTTAATTTATTTTGAACTGTTTAAACCTGGAAACTCAGGAGCCAAAGTCAGTTCCTATAAGCAGCAAAATTCCTAAGGTTCCATTGAGAATATGCACATCCTTCCAGGAATATCTCATTTTAGCTGGTGTGCTGTTTACAAAGCAGGCTTGTCAAAGAAATGACCCATGAATTCCAGTAATGGAAACTGATAAGCATCTGCTGAAAACCTTTTTACCCAAGACAGGAATCAGATGAATGGAAAGAACTAAAAATTCTTGTAAGCAGTTGTTTCAAGTAAAAGGCATTGGGTATGTCTTTGATTTAAAGGCAATCAACAGATATGAGCAGATGTATCTATATGAGCATGTTTACATACATATCTGTGTGTCTATCACTATAATAGACATGATATATATCTCTAATAGATATATAGATATATCCAGTTGTTAGATGAGGTCACTTATGAGCCAGAAATCTTTTCTGTGAGACAGTGGAGGGAGGTGTTTGTGTGCACAGAGCTGAAGTGTATGTGTTCAAATTCCATTTCTATCTCCTACTGTGTAATCATCTTTTGTAAGATGATCATAACAGTATCTACCCAATAGGTTTGTTGTGAGAATAGTGCCTGGCCCATAGAAAACCAATGCCAGACTCTAATATCATGTCCAGAGATTTGAAAGAGAAAATGAAATAAGGGATATTAAATAGCACGCGGGCCATGGAGTTAGAGAGACCTCAGTTCAAATCTTATGTGGTGCCACAAGATGGGTGACCCTGAACGTTACTCAGAGACTCTGTTTTCTTTCTTTCCTTCCTTCCTTCGATTTATTTATTTGAAAGAGAGGGAGAGAGAGGGCACATAAATGGGGGGGGCAGATGAAGAGAATCTTCAAGCAGACTCCCCGTGGAGCATGTTGCGGGGCTGGATCTCATGACTCATGCAATCACAACCTGAGCTGAAACCAGGAGTCAGACACTTAACCCACCGAGCCACCCAGCACCCCATAGACTCTGTTTTCTTATTTTATAAAACTGAAGTACCAATCCTACAGTTGTAAGATAAGGAAGGATAGATAGAAAGCCCCTGAACGTGCTAGACGTTCAGTGTTAGGTTACCTTTCCCCACAACACTAGAACTAGTTCTTAAAGACTGTAAAAATTTTTTTTAAAGATTTTATTTGTTTACTTGAGAGAGAAAGAGAGAAAGAGAAAGAGGGAGAGAACATGAGCTAGGGGAGGGGTGAAGGAGAGGGAGAAGCAGATTCCCCACTGAGCAGGGAGCCCATCGTGGGACTCAATCCCAAGGCCCCAGGATCATGATCTGAGCCGAAGACACTTAAACAACTGAGCCACCCAGGAGCCCAACTGCAAAAATTTCTTTATTCGTTTATTTTTTATGGCTAATAAAACTTATTCTCTGTACTTCTCTTAGGGTGAAAATGGTTTACATGGAGCTCCAGGCTTAGCTGGTCAAAAGGTAAAGAGTTTTTGAATGTTTTATGTAAGTTAAGAATTTAACATCTTAAAAATTGAATTTACACATAATATGGTGAAGACAGAAAATTAATTTGATGAAACTGAATTCCCTGGAAGGCTCTTAGAAAGCCACTAATTGGTCTTTCCAAAGAGAACCCATGGAAATAATCCCTTCTCAAAGGAATCAGGATAGGAGAAAGCTTTATCAGAGAGCTTTAGCAACATGCTTCTCCAGAGAAGTCAATGATGATGCTTTCTGGGGGCTGTGGGAGTGTCCAGAGCTGCTCTGGAGATATTTTCATTGCTATTAGAGTCTAAAATGAAGAGTGGAACAATTTTTACTGCCTTTGACTGTATTTGGTTCTTACTTATTTATCTTCCTTTTTGTATATCCCAGATCAACTAAACATAATAGTTACAGTCATAGAAAATATTAAATATTACAAAGATGCTACAACTAACCTCTTCAAAAAATCTTTGTCAGAATAACAAATTTGTAATAAATAAAAATGTTTGTATTGACTGGGCTACTTCTTTCTGTGCCTAATATCTTTCTCTTTACCAAGGTGAACTTGATTTGTACCCATTTAATTGTCCCAGGGCTGCTTTCTCCTCCTGGGAAGGAGTATGACCAGCATTGCTGGACACACAGAGTCTGGTCTGTTCCAGTTTCCTGGAAGGTTTGGGGAGCCACTTCAGGTGGAGCCAGCTGTCATGATACCACCCAGATAATCCTACCACAGGGGAGAGCATTACTGATGCAATATTAGAGGCCCACCCAGGCCAACCCTATCATCTCTATGCTCTGGAAGTTTTCGAGGTCTTAGCAACAAGATGTCAGAAGTTACTATTACATCTAGGTTTTTCTCTGTAGCTAAAAATTACCATTAAAAAAAGATATGCATTTATTGATAGTTACAGCTTTTGAAAAATCTTCCCTTACTTGGCTTGATGAAGAAAGTAAGACTGAACTGGCAGTGATGAAATGGCAAGCCTCTGAATTTCTTCACAGCAGCTCTAGACGAAACCCATTGATACAGCATGTGCTGCATCTGTGAGTTGAGTTGCAAGCCAAGGGATGTGCAGATTTATCTGCTGGGAAATAGTTTTGGACTTTCCAGCAGCTGTTTGTGGTGGCTGCATCATGCTGACATTGTGGCTGATGTACTGGGGATATTTAGCGGCTTCAATGTCAGCTTGGATTAACAGATCAAGCTAAAGTCCATATTTTAGGAAAAATGGTAGAATAAAGATAGACCATGCGTTCAGTGGCAAATATCCCCAAATACTAACGTATTGTCTTTCCCAGTACCTTTCTTAAGGGCAGATGAAGAAATAATAATTTAATCACGTGTATATGTGTGTGTATACTTATACAGATATACAGATATTTGATTATATATGATTTCTAACATATACTCAGAGATTATACTTACAGTAAAAAGTGGGCATTCCTTTTCTAACACAGGAATTTTAATTGTATCAAGTGTCACCTTGTTGCAGCATTACAGAAAAAAAATGTAGATAAGAAACCCTTCATCCCTTGTCTCCGTGCACTCGGGAAACGTTTATTGAGTGCATCTTGTGGGGGGGAAGGGTGAGGATGACCCATCTCCAGCACTCATTGGCTGGCTATGTTGTCTTGAGTGCCTGACCTATATTTGGCATTCAGTGAATATTTGTTCGAATATATGAATCAAACATCAGTACTATAAATATCTGTGCAGAATTCAGTGGGAAAATAAGCTTGGCGGATTGGAGAGGGTTTTAGCTGAGAACAGGGGACTTAGAGCTTTTGGAATAATGATGATGGTTGAAAGCCAGCAGGGCTACCACCACCAGTCCCCTTTCTGTGACTGAGAGGCAGGAGATCTGGGTGGTAAAGAGCATGGATGGCTCTGATGTCAGAGCTGGAGCCGGGACTTGGGGTTCAAGACTGAACTCATTCATCACACAGCTCTCACTGGAATGGTATTCCACAGAAGTCAGCTTGAGAGGGCTATTCTATGGGATCTAGTGAAGTCAATAGTAATAGTAATAATTAAAAGTAATAATAAAAAAGTAATAAATATAAATCAATAATAAAAAGTAAGAGTAATAATGGCTAACTTATTTGGTGCCAGGCACTATGCTGATGCATTCAATTCTCAAAACGTCTATGAGAAAGGTACAGTATATGGGGCAATGCAGGTGTATGGAGATTACGTGGCATTGAGAGCACTGTTGTGAAGCTATAGCTTGTACCCTTTAATATTTAGGAATATTTAAATTTCATCCAAGTTAATATTGGTTTAAAGTTTACATATTAGAAATGGCTTTTATTTATAATTATTGATTTTTGTTACTGGAAACGTTATCATTATTATTGTAATAATTGTGTGTGTTAAAAGTAGAGTTCCTGTTACCATATATATCATACTCCTCTTCTACAGGGAGAGCAAGGTTTTGAAGGCAGCAAAGGAGAAATTGGTGAAAAGGTAAATATCTCTCTTGATGTATGCATCTGTAAAAATACATTGTGTTCATGAAAATATTTCGAAGTGGAATATTTAACTTCTCTTGTGCTTTCCATAGAAACAATTCTAATTTTTTTAGAAAGAAACTTAAAATATTTACTTCACTTAAGTTAGATGTAATATATTGATGATTGTCAGAAATCTTTCTAAGCTTGTTTGGATGGTAGTTCTATCTAGATATTTCTCGCTAAATGCATTCCATTGATATATAAATGATTCAAACATTGAGCATTATATTTGTGTACTAAAACATCACTGATGCACTGAGTGTCCAAGTCTTTTAAATAAACCGTTTTGTTTCCATGTACACCTCGTGTATCAGTGGAATTTTTTCTGAGGAGATAAATAAGAACTATACTAGGGTCAAACAGAGAAAAGATGTGAAAATAGAATAGTTTGAAAGAGTTAAAATAAAGGGATGGTTTAATAGGGAGGGCAGGCAAGGTGTAGGGAAAACCACAGGATTGTGCAACATCCCAGATTGAGTTATAGTGAACTCCTTAAACTCCACAAGGTTACCAGACTCAGGGGCAGAGAAAACTGTGGATATGGATCCAGATTGGTGCTAAGGGAAGCAGTGAACCCAATATTCAAGCAATCTTTGTTTTAAAAATTTGGGGCGCCTGGATGGCTCAGTCATTAAGTGTCTGCCTTTGGCTCAGGTCATGATGCCAGGGTCCTGGGATCAAGCCCCGCATCCAGCACCCTGCTCTGCAGGAAGCCTGCTTCTCCTTCTCCCACTCTCCCTGCTTGTGTTCCCTCTCTCGCTGTGTCTCTCTCTCTGTCAAATAAATAAATAAAATCTTTAAAAAAATAAAAATAAAAAATAAAAATTTATAGTCTTCTACTGAACGTACAGAGAATAAGAGTGCCTTAGTCATCCAAAATTTCCATTCAGACTATCATCTGAATCCTTCTGCATTTCATAAATCCAGTTTTATTTTTAAATAGAACAAAAACAGCACCATTCCTTTGTTTCACAAAATGTCTTGTAATTGGACAGCCACAAGAAGGGAAGGGGGAGAGATAATCTCAAATTAGACAGTCTTGCCTGTATTTAGATTTCTGGGCCGTGATCAGTTATTTGCTTCTTTAATAAGTATTTTAGACAGAATGAGCATCTATAATAATTATGACAAATTATACATGTTGTAAGCTACTTGCTAATTACTTTTCCTCACAGAACTGTGAGGAAGAAAAGGATAGTTATATAGTAATCATATAATTGAGGAGAATTCCATTAAATTATGACTATATTTTAAAAGTGGATCTCTCTTTTTAGCGATCTTTTGAGTATTTTTGCTTTAGAATGACAGTCATTGCCTTTAAATAAATGTCTTATTTATACATTTCCTGTTTTATTAATGGGACTTTACCTGTAGGAATAAGTGAGAATAAGCAAGGAGACATAAATTCTCTGTAATTTAAAGTCACCATCTCACTAAAATCTTAGTGGTTATTTTGATATTTTATATACACAGATGGTATCACTCAGTAATAGATTCTCACAGGCTATGAAGTATAGAAAAATATTCCATATATTTGACTTCAAAGATTTCCCTTCTAATTCCTCATACCTATTAACAATTGCTTTCAAATAGTCAATTTCACCATGAGGTGAAACTATTTATGGAGAATGATAGAGATAACACGAAGAAATAAAGCATCAAATAGAAAAGATAATACCTTGAATGAGAATTATAATTCAAACAGTTTATAGCCAAATGTAAAATTCACATAGTAACCTTTATAATAAAAATATATTCTGCTTTAATTATTACTTACCAAATAGCAAATGTTTGTGTTTTTTCAGTGTTCCATGCTACATATTCTGATCTATGACCACATGTATTTTACCGTAAGATAAATAATTAATGCCATCTTTTTGCTTCGAGATTAGAAACTGTATTTCTAAATTAACTAAATAAGAAAAGTATGTGAAGCACTCATTTCTATGTGACACAAGCATGAGATTCTTGCACTGCTCACAGCATAATTTGTTTTCTGAACAAAGACTATCTATTTTTATTTTTTATTAAAGTATTTGTGGGGCATCCCAAAATTGGATGGGAGCAGGCAGTGCAGGCAGTGAAAGAATTCACCCAACGCAGAACAAAAGAGATAGAAGTTTATTGAATACACTGCAAGGGAGCTGTAGGCAGAACAGCAAAGGAGAGACTATCTGCCACGAGGTGGTAGTGAGGGGTTACAATTATAGGGCAGAATAAGGGAGTATGAGGACATATGGAATTTCCCCTTTTTTGGTAATCTTAGGGACTGTGCCTAGTTGCAAGCAGCCCATTGGTCAGTTAGAGACTATGGCTTAATGAGCCTGTTTGCTTCAGCTCAGTAGTCACCGTGGGGCCTTTTGCCTTGCTTAAGTTTCCATTACTCCAGCCTGTTGCCTAAAAGCAGCCTCTACAGTGTAGTTGACACACAATGTTATATTAGTTTCAGGTGTACAACATAGCGATTCAACAAGTCTATGCATTATGCTGTGCTCACCACAAGTGTAGCTACTATCCATACAACACTATTATTATACCACTGACTATATTCCCCATGCTGTACCTTTCATCCCCATGATGTATTCATCCCATAACTGGAAGCCAGTACCTCCCACTCCCCTTCACCCATTTTGCCCATTCCCCCACCTGCTAAAAGACAATTTAATTTGATTTTCAATTCTTTGTGGAAGACTGAGTATATAATTACAATAAGATCTACCTTTCCTCTTTAAATGCCTTATTGTGGACTTTACTGTATTTAAAATTTGACTGCTTTGAATGATACAACTCACTATTTGCATAACAAAAGAATTCAGGGAGTTGTTATTGTTCAGAGATGTCATACCTACCAAAGGCACATGGCTACCAGTTGAACAAGAAAACACATATCAACTGTCAAAGAGATGGTCTTTGGATATCTTCAAAGTGATGATACCACTATGTGGTATCCTATAATCCAGTATAAACCAAGTAGAGAAATCTGCTGTTTTTCTTGATGGCCAGAAATCTATCCTGCAGGCCAGTTCAACTCTTAAGCCAGACTGACCGAGTGGATCCTCAACATGTCTAATGTTGTATCCTTAGTCCAGAGAAGAACTCATGAAACTTGAACAAGTATAGAGGACCTCATTTGAAAGTATATTCCTGAGTTTATAAGCAACTTATGACAGGGAAGAAACTCATGTATTACCTGAGCAAGCACAATTCAGCCAAATCAGTCCTGAAGTGAAAATTATTTGAAAGGTTGGTTCTTTTTCAAATTACTGATGCTGGCAGGACTCTCCCTGAAGAGATCTACTTTCAGGTTTACCTTTTTGGGGGGTTTATCATTTAGATGGATAGGCATGACCCTATCCCGTTGCCCCATTGCCTGCTGCCAAAGTCAGGTGAGCATCACTCAAGGATCCCTTGACTCTAACAGCATACCTCACGAAGCAGGAGGGAGGAGGTCTATATTCTGACTGAAGAATAGACCCACCCCTGGGGTCTGTGTTCTGGCTTTTCTGTTTCTATAGGAGTGATCCCAAACATCCCTTCTTTGGGGGATTTTCCTTAGGTTCTTCAGTACACTTGGAGGTGTTGAAGGGACTGCTACTAGTGAACAAAGTGGAGATTCCACTCTTGAGGTGACAGTTATCCCTACACTGTTAGCCTTCCCAGCAATGGTACAGCCAAACTCTTATTATGGGACCAAATGTAAATGCATGAAGTAAGCTCTGACCATCACATTAGAAAAAGGAGATTTAGCAGGGGTTCATTAAAGTGACCTTCATTCCTAGACCCTGAGCCCAGGTTTTAACTTTAGGTCTTTGTCAAAATAGGAGGAATATTACTTGGTTACATTATGAAAAGAAGAAGAAAATAGAAAAGCAAATGTGAACATCTGCTTCGTTATAGCATTCAGTATCTTTAAGTAATTGCTTCATGTGATTGGGTTTGCTTTTAACCCAATTCTTTTATGTTTTCATTCAAGCCCTGACTGACTTAGTTTAAAAACTGATTTCTTAGGTGTTAAACTTGATTCTGCCCAATTTTATTGTTAAATATCATTTGATTGTGAGAGAGAAACATCCAGTGGCAACTGCTGTTCATGACACACTTTTCCTGACATTTTTCTCTACATTTTCTAGCTAAAATGTAATCGATTTTGTTCATTTAAGAGTGACATTTAAGTTAACGTGGATACATAGGTAGCAAATCTTTACAAGGACTAAGACGTTTCAGCTAGTGTGGAACGTTTCCATTTGGTGAATTAAAACGATCTTATCCTTGAAGATTTCTTAAGGTCAGTGAAAAGAAAAAGGACAATCAAATGCTCTTTTCTTCATAAACCACCTGGCTCTGGGAGATGTGGATAGTATCCAACCTTTGACATTCTGTAGTCAAGAGTGTTCATGGTTAAGCAGGTTTTGACTTACTCTTATTTAAACGTATGGCCCTTACCTACTTTGATCATCTCGATTACTGATCTTTTCTTCCACTCTGAGTTATACTTGTATTAATGCAACTGCAAAACTAACAAATGCATATGGTTCCTGCTTTAATTCATCTCTTAAAACTTCAGGAAACTGGTTGCTGTAAATTTTCAGTGACTTGTGATTTTTATTATCTTGTTGTTACCAGAATGTTATCTCAGTCCTGAAGTGCCATATGAAATAAAATAGTTATTTAAGTCGGAAAATTATGTTTCAATATTTATTTCTCTGATTTTATAACTGTTGTAAATATTTTTACCTGACAGAATCCACTGGAAAAACATCCAATTGATCCCTATTCTTCGTTGGTTTATTTAACAAGACATCATTGTAGAATTCTGTACAAAATGTGATATTCAAATGAATAAAACTATTGAAATGTCTATTATAATGTAGGGTAGAGTACAAGAGTACTTTACTACTCCAAAACTGCCTGGGGTTATTTATCATTAAACCATGTATCCAATCATTTGTATTT